GGGCTCGGTGAGGCGCAGCCGGAAGCGCTGCCCGCGGGGCAGCTCCATCCCAGTCCATCCCAGTCCATCCCAGTCCCTCCCAATCCCATCCCAGTCCATCCCAGTCCCTCCCAATCCCATCCCAGTCCCTCCCAATCCCATCCCAGTCCATCCCAGTCCATCCCAGTCCCTCCCAGTCCCTCCCAGTCCATCCCAGTCCCTCCCAGTCCCTCCCAGTCTCACCCCATGCCCTCCTGGGCTCGGTCAGGCGCAGCCGGAAGCGCTGCCCGCGGGGCAGCTCCTGCAGCAGCCGCGCCACCTCGAAGTGCCGCGCGCCCACCAGGCTGCGCCCGTCCAGCGCCTCCAGCACGTCCCCCACCGCCACCAGCGGCACGCGGGACATGAGCGAGCCCGCCCGGATCCGCTGCGGGGACACGCGACACGCCATGGGCACGGGAGGGACACGGGGACACGGGAGGGACACGGGAGGGACACGGGGAGACACGGGAGGGACACGGGACACACGGGAGGGACACGGGAGGGACATGGGAGGGACACGGGGAAACATAGCATGGACACGGGAGGGACATGGGATGGACATGGGATGGACACGGGAGAAACACGGGAGGGACATGGGAGGGACATGGGAGGGATACGGGAGGGACACGAGGAAAACATGGGATGGACACGGGAACGACATGGGGAAAACATGGGATCGACATGGGGAAAACAGGGGAGAAACATGGGATGGACATGGGATCGACATGGGAGAAACACGGAATGGACATGGGATGGACATGGGGAAAACATGGGATCGACACGGGATGGACATGGGGAGACACGGGATGGACACGGGATGGACATGGCAGAGACACAGAGTAAACATGGGATGAACATGGGAGAAACATGGGATGGACATGGGAGAGACATGGGAGAGACATGGGAGAGACAGGGTAAACATGGGATCAACACGGGATAAACATGGGATAAACATGGGATGGACAGGGGATGGACACAGGATAGACATGGCAGAGACACGGGATGGACACAGGATGGACAGGGGATAGACACGGGTTACACCTGAGTTACACCTGGGGCACACCTGAGCACACCTGGGCACACCTGGGGCACAGCTGGGCACAGCTGGGCAAAGCTGGGGCACACCTGAGCACACCTGGGCACACCTGGGCACACCTGGGGCACAGCTGGGCACAGCTGGGCAAAGCTGGGGCACACCTGAGCACACCTGGGCACACCTGAGCACACCTGTGTCATACCTGGGCACTCCTGGGGCACACCCGAGCACACCTGGGCACACCTGGGCACACCTGGGGCACACCTGGGCACACCTGAGCACACCTGGGCACACCTGAGCACACCTGGGCACACCTGGGCACACCTGGGGCACACCTGGGCACACCTGGGCACACCTGGGCACAGCTGCACTACCCTGTTGTAGGTGAAGTTGAGCCCCAGCGCTGCCCAACTGCCCCCACCCAGCTGTGCCCAGGTGTGTGTTACCTGTCCCAGCTGTGCCCAGGTGTGTGTTACCTGTTCCAGCTGTGTCTCACCTGTCCCAGCTGTGCCCAGGTGTGTCTCACCTGTCTCAGGTGTGTCTCACCTGTCCCAGGTGTGCCCAGGTGTGTCCCAGCTGTGTCTCACCTGTCCCAGGTGTGCCCAGGTGTGTCCCAGCTGTGTCTCACCTGTCTCAGGTGTGTCTCACCTGTCCCAGCTGTGCCCAGGTGTGTCCCAGCTGTGTCTCACCTGTCCCAGCTGTGTCTCACCTGTCCCAGGTGTGTCTCACCTATCTCAGGTGTGTCTCACCTGTCCCAGCTGTGTCTCGCCTTGATGAAGGCGTAGCCGGCGCCGTTGTTGGTGATGGTCAGCCCCAGCTGTGCCCAGCTGTGCCCAGGTGTGTCTCACCTGTCTCAGGTGTGTCTCCAGGTGTGTCTCACCTGTCCCAGCTGTGTCTCACCTGTCTCAGGTGTGTCCCAGGTGTGTCTCACCTGTCCAGGTGTGTCTCACCTTGATGAAGGCGTAGCCAGCGCTGTTGTCGGTGATGGTCAGCCCCAGCTGTGCCCAGGTGTCCCAGCTGTGTCCCAGCTGTGTCTCACCTATCTCAGGTGTGTTTCCAGGTGTGTCTCACCTGTCCCAGGTGTGTCTCACCTGTCTCAGCTGTGTCCCAGGTGTGTCTCACCTGTCCCAGCTGTGTCTCACCTATCTCAGGTGTGTTTCCAGGTGTGTCTCACCTGTCCCAGGTGTGTCTCACCTGTCTCAGCTGTGTCCCAGGTGTGTCTCACCTGTCCCAGGTGTGTCTCACCTGTCCCAGGTGTGTCTCCAGGTGTGTCTCACCTGTCTCAGCTGTGTCCCAGGTGTGTCTCACCTGTCCAGGTGTGTCTCACCTTGATGAAGGCGTAGCCAGTGCTGTTGTCGGTGATGGTCAGCCCCAGCTGTGCCCAGCTGTGTCTCCAGGTGTGTCTCACCTATCTCAGGTGCGTCTCACCTGTCCAGGTGTGTCTCACCTGTCTCAGGTGTGTCCCAGGTGTGTCTCACCTGTCTCAGGTGTGTCTCCAGGTGTGTGTTACCTGTCCCAGGTGTGTCTCACCTGTCTCAGGTGTGTCCCAGGTGTGTCTCACCTGTCTCAGGTGTGTCTCCAGGTGTGTCTCACCTGTCCCAGCTGTGCCCAGGTGTGTCTCACCTGTCTCAGGTGTGTCTCACCTATCTCAGGTGTGTCTCACCTGTCTCAGGTGTGTCTCCAGGTGTGTCTCACCTTGATGAAGGCGTAGTCGGCGCCGTTGTCGGTGATGGTCAGCCCCAGCTGTGCCCAGGTGTGTCTCACCTGTCCCAGGTGTGTCTCCAGGTGTGTCTCACCTGTCCCAGCTGTGTCTCACCTATCTCAGGTGTGTCTCACCTATCTCAGGTGTGTCTCCAGGTGTGTCTCACCTGTCCCAGCTGTGTCTCACCTATCTCAGGTGTGTCTCCAGGTGTGTCTCACCTGTCCCAGCTGTGTCCCAGGTGTGTCTCACCTATCTCAGGTGTGTCTCACCTGTCTCAGCTGTGTCCCAGGTGTGTCTCACCTATCTCAGGTGTGTCTCACCTGTCCCAGGTGTGTCTCCAGGTGTGTCTCACCTGTCCCAGGTGTGTCTCACCTGTCTCAGGTGTGTCTCCAGGTGTGTCTCACCTGTCCCAGCTGTGTCTCACCTATCTCAGGTGTGTCTCACCTGTCTCAGGTGT